ACCACAACCGGCCCACACACGGCTTTAAATTGGTTACTTTAGTGTCTCATTCTTAAGAAAGCCATAGATGGCCACACATTTGCCCAAATATATAATATGACAAACAGAGATCTTAAAAGAGATATCAGAAGTAGTATAGACAATTCAAGAAAAAAATTTAAAACATATTATCAGTTTTAAGAGATGATATTATCTCCATGAGAGAAAAACAGGGTGTTTTTCAAAAACTAAAGAAAATGAACTTTTAAAAATTAAAAATATGACAACAAATGTAAATTTTTCAGTTGTAAAAATTTCCTAGAAAGTGGAAAAAAAGACAGAGAAACCACAGAAAAAGAAAATCACAGGATTAATCTAAGAGGTTTAATTACCAAGAGAAAACACTAAAAATAGAGATGAGAAAATTATCAAATAAGTCAAGGAAACAAATAAGCTTTCTGAAAAAAAAAAATAAGCTTTCCATTTTTTTTTTGTTTCATGGATCTGAAACAAATAAGCTTTCAAACTGAAAGTGCCAAACAATATCCACCAAAAAGAATGAAAGATACCCTAGTAAGATACACTACTGTGAAATTTCAGAATACCAGGGAAAAAAAGATAAAAATTTAAAAGTTTTTAGAGATCTAGCAGATCTAACAGATCATGATCAAATACTAAAAATCAAGGGAGACACAGAATTCTCGACTGCAATACTGAGGCTAAATAATAATTACACAACTCAAAATTAATGAAAGTAATTTCCAACCTATTAGGTTGGTGCAAAAGTTATCGTGGTTTTTGCAATAGAAAGTAATTGCAAAACCACTATTACTTTTGCAGCAACCTAATAGAATTCTATACCCCAGGTATGATAGTAGAATATACATATTTTCAGACATATATCATCTCTAAAACTTTATTTCATTCACCCTTTTCTCAGCATGAAAATGGAGGATATGATTCACCAACACGAGGAAGTAAAGCAAGAAGATGGAGTGATCCAAGACTCAAGTGATCCAATGTAGAAAAGAGTTCTCAAGATGACAGTAAAACAAAGTCTCAAGATGAAAGCTGTGTAGCAACTATTTAAATTGGAACAGAAAGATGTAAGGCCCTAGAAAGGATGTTTCTAATGGGGAAGAAATGTGGACTAATAGATAACCAAGCATACCTGCTTACATACAGTTGTTTTAGAGACCTTCTGGAGCTTTTGGGGATAAATAATAGGTATGCAGAAAACTAAGCAAAACTAAACAGAGGTATTTATTGGCCCTAAGGGGAGGAAAGGTATTAAAAAGGAAATATAATCACAGGACAGAACATGGTTCATCTATGGACAATCTTTATAGTTATAATAAACACTAGATTATTGATTTAACATAATTATTTGGGAGAATGAGAATAGGAGTGTGGTGGTTTAAAAGTTAAATTCCAACCTTCTTTCATGTAGTGAGTCAAAAATTTCTGAAAATTAGAAAAAATAAATGAAAAGTCTCTTGGGTTCTTATAATCTTATTTTGTTATTATTATTATTATTTTGAGATGGAGTCTTGCTCTGTCGCCCAGGCTGGAGTGCAGCAGTGTGATCTCGGCTCACTGCAACCTCCGCCTCTGGGGTTCAAGCAGAGCCTCAGCCTCAGTCTCCGAAGTAGTTGGGATTACAGGCATCTGCCACCGCACCCAGCTAATTTTTGTATTTTTAATAGAGATAGGGTTTCACTATGTTGGTCAGGCTGGTCTTGAACTCCTGAACTCAGGTGACCCGCTCGCCTCGGCCTCCCCAAAGTGCTGGGATTACAGGCATGAGCTAATGCACACAGCTAACTTCTTAAAATCTTGTTATTTACCTCACCTTGCCCTTTCACTCCTGTCATCATACTGTCATACCAGCAACTATAATCCTTTCACAATCTCAACTGTCTGCATACTTCTCTCTGAACATTATCTCCTAACATTCTAGTTCACTCTAATACCTCAACATCCACTGATACGACAATCCCACTGTTAGTCCCAATCCATGAATCCTACTACCTTTTTACTTGTCCTAACTGCTTCGATACTCTCTTCCCTCCTTTCCCAGTGATCCGTCAACATTTTCTATAGCTCTGCTGTTAACAACACTGAAATCTATTAAAATTGTTCTAAGTTTTGTTTCTAAGGACAGGGCTCTTCTCTGTTTCTAACATTGATAAAGAACTTTTACTACTACGTTAGTAAAGTTACTCTAAAGGAAAGGTGCAAAAAGTTAACAGGGCTTAGTGTAACATTTTGTCTTTTATTTGAATCTCTCAGGGGAGTTTAAGCTTTTTATAACAGGAAGACTGAGGGAATTCAGGGAAAATGAAAAATTGCATAGCTACAAGAAAATATAAAAGAGTAACCCAACAGAATAGAAAGAACACAGAGTTGGTAGTCAGTAGACTTCATTAATAATCCTGGATTAGGCCAGGCACAGTCTCAAGAGTGTAACTGGATTAGGCCAGGCTCAAGAGTGTAATCCCAGCACTTTGGGCACTTTGGGAGGCCGAGGTGGGCGGATAACCTGAGGTCAGGAGTTCAAGACCAACCTGACCAACATGCAGAAACCTCATTTCTCCTAAAAATACAAAATTAGACAGGAGTGGTGCATGCCTGTAATCCCAGCTACTTGGGAGGTTTAGGCAGGAGAAGTGCTTGAACCTGGGAGGCAGAGGTAGAGATAAGCCGAGATCACGCCATTGCACTCCAGCCTGGGCAACAAGAGCAAAACTCCATCTCAAGAACGAGGAAAAAAAAAAAAAATCCTGGATTATACCCTAGACTAGTTATTTAGCCTGAGGGCCAAAATTTCCTTAGTTTGTAAAATGGAGCTAAATTATACCAACAACTTAAAAATGTTTTTTCTAATAGCAAGATCCAAATGATATTTTACATAAAATCCCAAAACAAACAACAAAAAAGACTGTGTTGCCTCTTGAGACAATTCTGCAGAACACTGAAGCTCCACAGAACATAATTTGAATTTTTCTAGATCATTCTAGATCTAGATCATTTCTAGAACTATCCTACAAGTCTAAAAAAAAACTATGAATTTTTTATCTCGAAACATTACAGACAACTTAGTTCCGGAATGCCATAGAAGACAAAGTTGACATATGAGACAAAGTGCTGGAAACAAACATGTCAGTTTAAAGCAATATTTCCTATAAATTTTTTCTTCTTTTATTACTAAGACCGCTTGAAATGTTTCCATCGGTACATGTTTTTATAAACATTTTCTATAAATAGTCTATAAATATAAGGGATAAAAGAATAGAAAGCACATGAAAATGTAAAATATCCTATGTAAACAAGAAGGAGCTATTTTAATAGGGAATGTGGTCTCTGCCAAGGAAAAGTTTATAATCAAATTAGGTGTAAGAAACAGCCTATCAAGAACCTAGAGGATCTGCTTAACATGCACAGTGTCTTCCAAGTTTTAAAAGGAGCATTACTCCAAAGTGGGAAAAATGCCTGATGCCACTGAGGCGAAAAACATTTTTAGGTGAACATTACAATGGTAGGTAAAGAACAAACAACAGTTATCACAGTCTTTTATTGTTCTAAGCTTGTAGTTTAGGTAATTTAAAACCATATTATCTATTCCAGGCACTCATCATCTTCTGCTGTTTCCTCCTCTGTGCTACTGTTATCTTTCTATCTCATTCAAATCACCAGACAGAAAAAGAGCATCCAATTAAAAGTTAAGACACTGAAGGTCTAGTACCAGTCCTGAAATTTATTGGTATGTAACTAACCTGGATCTTGGTTTCCTCAACTACAAAATAATGGCAAGATTCTGAATTACTTGTAATTTATCTTTTCAATATAAAACTTTATTAACAATAACCTTTTCATAAGAAAAATCTCCTAGTCATTTTCCTTCTAATAACAATTCTTTAAGTTTCCTTTCTATATTACTTGATAATTACCTTAAATAGGCTCTGAAATGAAAGAAAATGACATTAAACCAGTTAGTTCTCCATTCTCAAATCCACTTTCATTATATTCAAATTCATAGCCATACTTCAAACCCTAGGCTAAAAGAAAGAATACCCCTGAATGGCTTAAATGTACCAGGCAATGCAAGGTATTTTACATGCACTACCCTGGTTTTTCATTGTAACAGTTCTGTGAGTATTACATTCTTAACTCCACTTTAGAGTCGGTAAAACATTGAATGCTTTTAAAATGTTTTGGGGATTACCGTTCTAGCCACTACTTTTAAAACTGGGAAATAATTAAAATTTAACGCTTTCCCAGTTTTAAAAGTAGAGGCTTAGAATAGTAATCCTCAAAACATTTTCACAGCATACATCGTTAAGCATTGTAAATCTGCTTTCATTAACATAATTAATTTTTAGAATAACATATACCATCAACCTAAATACCAAATAATAAAAAAGTTTAGTATCTTTTACTTAGTTTTTAGATAAAATTACGATTACGTAATTTTCCTCTCACAACCCAATGAATGGATTTGAATCTAAAGTTATCACTATGGATTTAAATCTACTGTGGACCAAGTTAACCTCTGTTGGGTTCTATGGCCACAGACTGAATTCTAGTTATTCAAATTATTCTTGAAAGACACTGAAACACATAGAAGGCTGGGTGACCAAGCCTAATAGCTCATTTCAAATATAGCTTGAGTAAGATATCCTACACATGGTGAGCCAGAAGAATTGCCTTAGTTGTTAGACAGCGCATTATTAAGATCACCTATATGCTTCAATATTACACCTTACTGATCTTTCAGGTTGCTATGAATGAAACATTTTCAAATTACTACACAAATGAAAGATCCTATAGCTATCTGATATTCATCTCTATATTAAGGTAGACTTTATAACTCATTGAATAAGAAATATAAAAAATAACTTAAGTTCTATTTTTATTCTTGTTAAGAATACACCTTGTTGAAACCTTCTAAAAAATATAACTCACATTTAAAATGAATTATAATGTAATTAAAATTCAAGTAAAAATGTTAGTCCTCTTACCCTGTCTAGTTCCAGTGTAAACTTCTGGTCCCATGACTGATTGGAAATGGGCTTCCAGCTAGTTTGGCCAACCACAGTATTATCAAGCTTCAAAACAGCACAGACATCATCTGTAATTAAAATTTACAAACTAGCTTAAAAACTTTAAGCCTTTATAAAAAATAGAAGTACTGCTGTTTAATTAGCAATAAAAGTCTTAAGACCCTTTGAAAATAAAGTTTTTCATAATCAATATTAAAACTTTTGAATCTAAATGGCTAGTTTTATATATACATACACTCCTACTAGACACTCCCAAATTGTTTGTGTTTGACAAAAACACAAATAGTGACTGCTATCTCTTTTGTTTACATTGGCATGTGACTGAAAGAACAAATAAATAGTTGTTTGCCACACTGTGTGTGTGTGAATATCAATCAGTTTTTCTTTCTCTGATATTTACAGAGCTTGTTGCCTTAAACAATTCTTTATTTTCACATTTTTCTTAAAGCCTCTCTCTATACACAGGAAAGCACAGGCAAATTCACTTTTGTATTCTACAGTAGGTTGAACTGTCACATGCTTTTCCCCTGTTATATATCTATATGTAGTTTATGCTTATACTTCAGAATTTCTCCCCAGTGCTTTCCAACCCTCTTGCATTTTACTCTCCTCGAACAACACCCCTACCATCCCCCATCTCAGTGGACTACCAGGCTATTATCTCAGTAAACACATCTGGATCAGCAGTTAGATTACCAAAATTTCAATGTTACTATTAAAATGTCAGTAAACCATTAAAAAAATAAAGGCTGGAGATGGTGGCTCACACCTACAATCCCAGCACTTTGGGAGGCTGAGGTGGAAGGAAAGTTAGAGCCCCTGAGTTCGAGACCAGCCTGGGCAACATAGTTAGACCCTGTCTCTAAAAAAAAAAAAGCCAGGCATGGTGGCACGTGTCTATAGTCCCAGCTACTTAGGATGCTGAGGTAGGAGGATCACTTAAGCCCAGGAGGTTCAGGCTGCAGTGAGACATGATTTTACCACTGTACCTAGCCTGGGCAACAGCAAAACGCTGTCTCAAAAAATAAAGAAAAATAAAGGAATCAAGATATGATTCTACAAGAAGGACCAGTCTCATAGTTTCTGTATACCTTCAGTTTGGCATAAGAGTGATGCTCAATAGTTTATTCTTCCAAAAGAACTAATGTTATTTGTCATTCAGTTTTCTAATGTATTTTTAACAAAATAGAATTTGTTGCCTTTTTGTTTCCTGTCATCAAAGCTTTTAATATTTTAAAATTAAATTATAAAAACCATAATTTTAAAGTGTTTTGTCCAACTTGAACACTTCATATTCTTCTCTATTCCCATTCAGAAATCCCTTCTATAAGCACTTTAGTTTGTTATATGATTTTTAAAAATCTGGTTACTGAACTGGACAAGTCATCGGTTTTTAGAAGATTTCGACTACTTCCGCTTTTACTTTTACTCGTTCTGCTCATGAAAGATGATCTGGTTTCACTTGGACTCCAACCAGGCAGTGCAACTGATGTTGCTTTTGACCGTCCAGGGACATTCTCTAGGATATCTTGGCAGCCCATAAGACGAACTTCCAAAGTACCTGTTAGCATACATAAATATCAAATAAGAACATCAATCCTTAATCCATGGAATCCTTAATCTAAATCTGTTACCTATTCAAAAAAAGAAAAAAAAAAATCTGGTAGCAAAAACTCTTCTCCCAGAGGATTTGTGAGGTAGTTATCATCTTTCCTATTTAATCAGAGAAACCATTACAAATTCCTTAGACAATCAGAAGAAATTTTATAGAAAAGAACAGCACCTCCTGGCTGTGCACAGTAGCTCTCTTGCCTATAATCCTAGCACTTCGGGAGGCCGAAGTGGGTGGACTGCCTGAATTTAGCAGTTTGAGACCAGCCTGGGCAACATGGTAAGACTCTGTCTCTACTAAAAATACAAAAAATAGCTGGATGCGGCAGTGTGCGCCTGTAGTCCCAGCTACCCGGAAGGCTGAGGCACGAGAATTGCTTGAACACAGGAGGCAGAGGTTGCAGTGAGCCGAGACTGCACCACTGTATTCCACCAAGACTCTCCCTCCCAAAAAAAAAAAAAAAAAAAAAAAGGAACAGCATCTCCCAAAAGCTGTCTGTCTGTAGGGCATAAAACAAAACAAGTTACATAAACTATGTTGGTAGAGGTATGGGAGGAGAAACATAAAGCTAAATAATATGCCATTAAAATGGTACATGAAAATTGGAAATAAGGAAGTCTCACTATGTGAAAAGGAACTACGTTTAATAGTTACGTAGTTAACACAGAAAAGAACTTTACAAGGTTTTTGTATAACTAAATAAATTTGTGTTCTATTTGATGTAAAATGACATTATCTTTCCATTCTGTTAGTTTAATTAGCCAAAAAATTATGGGTTGTAATTAAGCATAAAATAACTTCAATTTATTAGGCAAAAAAATACTAAAGATGTTCAAAATGAAAACAAAGAACTATGAGTTAGGTCCTCTGGATAAATGGCTTTGTCATTATTTGGGCTAGGAACAATATACTAGAATTTAAATAATGCTTCAGTATTAACATTTTAGATACTGTACACTAAATAACATTTTAGGAGGAGTATTTCTGGTAAAAGTTGTCCCATTAATTTAAATAACTACTTAATTTTACTTAAAGTTTTAAATTGTTTTTAATAATACTTAAGTACTTATATATTTCTGTCCAGGTAAGTAACAAAGCTTCCCAATCCAAAATACCAAAAAAAAAAAAAATTCACATAAAATATATGATAAAAAGGGTTAAAGACACTGGACATCAGGCAATGAAGAATAGTGATCCCCGAGAGACGGGAAACAAATGAGATAAGCCCTAAGATTGCTCCAGCTTACTGTCTTAAGAGTTTCTAGGACACAGCGCAGGGAGGGGGGAAACTCAGGGGAGCCAAGTTGAAGAAACAGAAATGAGAGTACAAGGAAACCAAAGCAGCTAGAGTTCACAAGGCAGAATAAAGGAGAGAGCTGTTCATAGAAAGAACTCCTGAGATGGTCAGAGGGTTTTCAAGTATTCATCAAAGTACTAATCGGCGCGGCGGCTCACGAGGTCAGGAGATCGAGACCATCCTGGCTAACATGGTGAAATCCCGTCTCTACTAAAAATACAAAAAATTAGCCGGGCGTGGTGGTGCGCGCCTGTAGTCCCAGCTACTCGGAGGCTGAGGCAGGAGAATGGCGTGAACCCGGGAGGCGGAGCTTGCAGTGAGCTGAGATTGCCCCACTGCACTCCAGCCTGGGCGACAGAGCGAGACTCCGTCTAAAAAAAAAAAAAGAAAGTACTAATCAGCACCTGCCTATGAAGAAAATATCTGGGGCAGGGTAAAGAACCAACTGAAAAAGTTAGAAAGAACAATACTCAGGGCATAAAGGCAGGAATAGTGTTTGCCACCACCAACCAGGCTTGAAAATCTCAACTCATGAGGTACTGAAGAAAATATCCAAAAGAGTCTTGCCCCAGCAGTAGAGAATAATTACCCCTAAACTAAATGATTTCACATAACAAATCTTCAAAGCAGTACCCAAAAGGGCCATATTGTTTCCAAGTAACTGTGTCCTAGTACAAAGCTCAAGAATATTTATAGAAATACAAAAATATTCAGCATCCAACAAGGGAAAATTCACAGTGTTTGCCATCTACTCAAAGATTACCAGCTGTATTTGTTTTCTATGGTTGCATTACAAATTATTACAAGCTTAGTGGCTTAACTGACATAAATGTTAGGGTTAGAAGGCAAGGACATCAAAACAGTCAATCTACTGAAAATGTGGCACGGACACATGGAAGAAATGAAAAAGACCTAAACCAAATTTCTAGTGATTAAAAAACGGCAATATCTGAGATTAAAAAAAAAAAATACACTGGATGGGACTGCAGGCAGATTAAACATTGCAAAAGAAAGATTATTGTTCTTGAAGACATAGTAAAGAAATGATCAAAAATAGAAGACACTAAGGAAAGACTTGGGAATAAAAAAAGAACAGAGCATATATTAACTGTGAGTTTAATTTCAAGTGGCCATATATGTGTAATTGAAATTTCTCACGAATAGAGAGCAGAAAGAATTGGAGACACAAACTGTATTAGAAAAAAAAAAAAAAAAAAAAAAAAGGCCATGAATTCTCCACATTTGATGAAAACTATAAACCCAAGAAGTATACAAGAAGTTCAATGAACACTAAACAAAAGAAACAGAAGCAAGCCATACTAAAGCACACCATAATCCAATTTCTCCAAACCAGTCGTGAACAAAAAAACACCAAAAGTAGCCAGAAAAAATCATGTTACATAGAGAGGAACAAAGATTAAGATGGCAGGAGATCTCTTATGCAAAACAATGAAAGCAAGACCACACACTTACCATATGTATAGTTTTTGTATGTCAATTATTCCGCAATAAAACTGCCCTATAAACTGGATACTGATGATGGTGAAAAAGGCATATACATTTACTAAAAAAAATACTTTGTATATTTAAAATGAGTGAATTCTACGGTATGTAATCTCAATAAGGCTATTAACATTGGGAGGTGGAGTGTCAATAATGTTTTGTTAGACTGTGGAAATCTTATCTTACTGTATAGTATTAACACATTAAGTAGAATATCATTTTGAGTTCAAAAAATTTGTTGTGTTTCTTGTTTTGTTGTTGTTAAACTGGCAAATTTAGCTAATTTCCACTGCAAATGCTCAGCTGTAAAATGCATCCTGGGGAAACTGAAAACATCTGGCTACTACTTCAAACTATGGTAGCTTATTAAATATTTTAGTAATTTCAATATATCAGAACATGACAATGCTCAACACCTGCTTTCATTTAGGAAAAAAAATCTAGAGGGAGTTCTTTATTAAACATCTAGGAGTTTCTTTATGAGGTGACACAATTGCATATAAACACATTAGAAATAGTTTAAAACTACATTCATAAAGCACAATATGAAATTTTCAAAACAAGCAAATCCAAGAAGTAAATGTTGGTATTCAGAAGTAATAACTATGAATTGCATTAGAACAAGTAAATGCTTTAACATTTTCCTTTCAGCTTTCTGGAAAACTATTTTATACCTATTTCACTAATTTGGTATTTCATCGTGGTATGATTAGGCAACTTTTTTTAATTCTGTAGAAATATCCTCTTATAAAAACTAGTAAATTTCTCAAAACGTGAAGCCAAAAAAAAAAAAAAAAAAAAAAAAAAAATCAACTTTACCTTATTTGAAGTAGCAACAAATTTTCTAATTTCAGTAGTATAACCATGCAACCACAAAAGAAACCGGAGTATGAGATGAACCACAAATAATAGCATGCAGTGAAAACTTCAGAACAGCAAATGCTCTTACTATTCATCCATGTTCATCTTTTGTCATGTGGAGTCTTCTATTAATGTCAGTACTATTTCTCTCCCTAGTTACTTAAAATTTAGTTTATGGTCCCGTAGAAAAAAAAATTCCCCTAAAGAATTTTTTTTTAAATGTCTTAAGAATTGTAAGATACTTCTTTTTTGGTTGGTGACTTATATAACTTTGAGTAAAGTTTAGTAATGGAATGACGAACGGGGAAGAAGGAACTGAAAAGAGGGAACAGGAGACTAGAAAAGGAAAACAATTCCAGTCAGCTCCAGTTGAGTTTCTAAAATGTGACTTTATTACTTTTCTAGAAATACGGTTAATTTCCAAATATTTGACAACCATATTTTAATCAATGCATCATTCAGAAGTGCTTGAGTATCAACAATGTGTTCAGCATTGAGCCAAAAGGTGGTGAAACTTAGTAGACAATAAGTACAGTCCTTGCCTGAAGTATAGTCCCTGCCTAATTGTCAGATACTATTTATCAAGTACTTGTTGAATGTATCAAATATCCCGTGCTGGAGGCGAGGATATTATGTAGGTAGACGACAAGGTCTTTGTTCTTTACAGGTCTATATTCCAGTTTTGATTTAAAAATACATATAAGAAGATGAATACTAAGGTAAAGACATTTAAGCAGTGTAGAGGAGGCACCGGGCACAAACCAGTTTGTGACAGAAGATTCATGGTAGGAGTTACAGAGATATGACTGGAAAGATAAATAGGTATCAAATATGAAAGAATTAGATCAGAGGTTCCCAAGCTTTCTCAGTTCATGGTGCCCTAATGTTTTAAACTATTTTTTAATTGTGTCCCAAGGCCAAAAGATATATCTAATAGTTCTGCTTATTAAACAGTTAGGTCCAAACATAGGATATGATTGCTTTCCTAACAAATTAATAGCTATTTGAAAAAAAAATACATATAACTAAAAGAAAAAGCATTTTCATTCTTAAGCAAGATTACTTCCTTTTGGAAACTGTATAACTTCTAAAGCTTTGGAATCAGTTTGGAAACTACCACATTGATTTCCTATTTCACACTGATTTCGCACAGCACTTTAAAAAAACCAAAATCACAGCAATTGAGGAAAACCCAGCTTCATAAATACAAGACACCACTGAAAGGAATGTAGCTCCACCTAATGCTGAAACTGTAACTACCTTGAGCTAGTAGTCTGAATGGTGACTA